AAACAGTAACAGTTTACCATGTACTCAGCAAGGCTTAAGCACAACTGCAGAAGGGCTGATTCCTATCAGTCTCCACTTCCGTTAGATGATCAGAGACAGTCTGGACAGACAGATGCTATCTGGGACAGTAGCCCTTTAGAATCAATGTGGAAGGTACATGAAGAACGTTATGTTAACTCTTTATGTTCTAATCTGATGTTTACATAGGATCAATATTCTCCTTGAAATGATTACTCAATCCTGAATATCTTTCAAGCACAATCTAAAAAACATGCTTAGGAATTTCCTTCCACATCAACCAGCTTTCCAGGAGGTTCAATTCCACCTAAGTTTGTCTGGTCACACAAATCAAAGCAGGAACTTCATGACTGCACTGTTTGTGCCCAGACCTGGCGTGAAAGAACTCATCCTAAACTTTTAAAATTAATCTCACTGTTTTCATTGTTCTGCTTGTACCTTAACTATGGCATAATGGATCTGTTAGTTCAAAAGCTTGTAGAGCCAGTAACCCCAGTGTTATCTGCAGATCATTTGAGGTACTTTTTACACTTGAGAGTATTTGCTCATATCCTATTGTTTGCTCTAGAAACATGGGCTTTGAATGGCTAAGGAAAACATGTTTTGTCTCATCATTCAGGAATACTTTGGGAAGTGAGTGCAGTGGTGTAGACAGGACAGAATGCAGGCAAAATGGTTTTAACTCAGAGCCTAGACCCTCGGGAAGAGCACTTGGTGGTTCATCCTTAGAAGTCCCCACTTCGGACTGCATTTGAGCGTACAGTAGTCCTGACCCCCACCAGGGCTCTCCTTTGCAGCACTGTCCTCTGTGGCTGTCAGTGACACTGGGGCCTCCTTCAAGCCAGTCCCTCACCACAGTTTCCCCACCACCACAAGACCCCAGCAAAACGCTCTTCTGCAGGAGCAGAGAACAGATCCGCAGTCTTGCTCTGAACCGCTGCAGAAGCCGATTTTATTGATTCTCTCAAATACGGGAGCACTTTGTTGACACTGTGAAGCAAGAGGCTGACCTCTCTCAGGCCATTTTTCATTTCCAATGATAACTCCTCATTTGGTGAATTTCCATTGACATCAACCGCAGGACTATTCATCCAGCAAGGTGTGTCTGGTGGACAAGGATCTTCCTTTTGAGTTCTTTTAAGTCTACATAATAGTTTGTCCAAATCATCTCCCTCTCCCTTCACTTCTGCAGGGCAGGTGCGGAGAGTCCCTCTTCTGTCCCTCATGCTGTGTGTCCTCTGATGCGCTGAGCCTGTGTCAGTCAGCAAATGCCTTCAATGGATCTCAATGTGAACCTGGAGAAGATCATCAAAGTGTTATAATGAAGACAGAGTCTTGAGAGACTGTATACACCTGATAATTCCTAACAGTCGACATTTTGATGGAAAATAGGATGACACCTAACAATTAGAAACCAAAACAAGGGCCTCCCTGGTGGCACAGGGGTTAAGTATCAGCGCTATCCCACTATCACCCATTGCTGCAACCTGTGTTCGATCCCCAGCCAGGGAGCTGACCCACATGGCACAGCAGACCTCTCCTGGCTCACCCACTGCTCCCCTTAGCAGTGTATTTCAGTAGATCCGTCTGTTCTGCTTCCCACTCTCTCTCTCTCACCGCCCCACCCACCCGCTGGCATACACCCAGTTCTTGTATGCATAAATAAATAAAATAAAAATATATTTTTTAAAAAAGGACACCAAAACAAAAAAGAGCAGTACTTTGTAAATGGAGTATTTCCTCAAACTGCTTTAAAATAAGAAAAATATACATTGAGGCTTTGTACTTTTCATGGAAATATCATTTGCATAGGTTCAATAAAAATCTGCTTTCCTTAAAAAAAAATCTGTCCTCCTCTTAACCAGAATAGCATTGGATGACTCAATTATGCAAACAAAGGATCACCCAAAAGCTCCTACCAGAGAATGGCTGCCAGTGACTTGAGTAAGGCAAACCACTTCTAAGGCATCTAGGCTGATTTTACTTACAGACCCAAGGTCTACAAAGCCCTTCCAGGAAAACCAGGCCAGAGAGAAAGCCTGGCACACAAACTTCCAGCCTGAAGGTGGAAACTGGCAGGTCAGGAAACAGCAAATTCTGAAACCTCAATATGAGAAAATTCACCCAGATTTATAGGCACTACAAGTAAAAATATGGCAGGGAAAGTTTTTTGGATTTAGTTCTCTGCTCTCACACTAAGCAAATGAAAGTGGCTTTTAAAAGTCCAATCTGAGGGGCCTCCCCGGTGGCACAGCGGTTGAGCGCTGGGTTGCGAAGCTGCCCGCGGCCTCTGCGGCGTCGGTTCGATCCCCGGCTGCTCCCCGGCCACCAGAGGAGGGTCCCACGTGGCGCGCAGACCTCTCCTGCCGCCCGCTGCTCCCCTCAGCAGTGTACTTCAGTCCTTCTGCCTGTTCTGCTCCCTGCTCTGGCTCTGGTGAATTCTCTCACCCTCCCGTGCTTCTGACTGTACCCAGTGCATGTATAAACAAAACAAACAAACAAACAAATTAAAAAAAAAAAAAGAGTATTTAAAAAAAAATAAAATAAAATAAAAGTCCAATCTGAGAGACCTTATGAAAACTTTTGGACAGAAGCTCATCTGTGGTATCAGCAGTTGTTCAATACAAAGCAGATGTTAGCACTATTCCTGCACTGCAACCAAACGAGACCAGCCTTTTTCTATGACCAAGAATAATCACTCTGTGATATTATCATGTTCCAAATGGAGATATCAGGAGAAAACTGTCAAAAGCTTTGAATTAGGGCCTCCCTGTGGTGCAGGGGTTAAGATGCAACCTATGAAGCTATCCGCAGTCATTGCAGCATGAGTTCGATCCCTGGCCAGGGAGCAACCCACATGGCACAGCAGACCTCTCCTGACTCGCCCGCTGCTCCCCTCAGCAGTGTATTTCAGTTGATCTACCTGTTCTGTTCCCCACTCTGTCTCTGGTGAATCCTCTCACCCCCCACACTTCTGGCCTGTACCCCAGTTCTTGTATGCATAAATAAATTAAAAAAAAAAAACTTCGAATAAGACAAAATAATCCCACTGGATGTGTTACCAAGTTATCTAATCTTCAGGGCTCTACATTGTCTTCGATGCTCTACAACTCTGCAAGTTGTAGAAAACTTAAAGAGTAAGGCAATGCCTTCTTATCCAGAGATACAAACCCTAATTGTGTCTGGAGGAAAGCAATGACCTGTGGACACAGACCAGTTCTATATCAACTTGGAAATTCACTTCAGCAGTCCTCATTACAGCTGTATGTGTATGTATATCCTGTCTAAATTCTCCTTTAAATGGACTGTGACATCTCACTAGTTCTCTAATGACTGGCCAGGTTAAAAAAAAAAAAAGCTTTGGGCCTACCTGGTGGTGCAAGGGGTTAAGCACTGCACAATGAAGCAGTCCACAGCCTCTGCAGCATGAGTTCGATCCCCGACCGGCTAGGGAGAAACCCACATGGCACAGCAGACCTCTCCTGACTCGCCCGCTGCTCCCCTCAGCAGTGTATTTCAGTCAGTCTGCATGTTCTGTTCCCCACTCTATCTCTGGTGGATCCTCTCACCAGCCCTGCATCTCTGGCCCAGCTCTTGTATGCATAAATAAATAAATCTTTAAAAAAAAATTTAAAAATTTAAAAATTTAAAAAAAGCTTTAACACCTATTCCTTTAAAAAAACAACTATACTCCCAAAACATTGAAAAGGGAAAAATAAATACATAAGTCATATTTAGTTATTTTTCTGAGTTCTGCCTAAGGAACTGCAATCTAAAATGCACTACCTCTCCTGGGAAAAGGAAGGAATGGCAATGCGGTGCATGAGATGGAAGCTGAAACAAAGAACAGAGATCATATCTTCCAGTTGGACAAAGACAAAAACTAAAAATCAAGAATCAAAAAGCAAAATCTTAAGCATTCAATTTGGAGGCAGAAGTGAACATTCACACAACCAACTGTGCTGCAAGTGAGGGCTATGAGGCTGGAGAAAAGGGAGCAGGAAACTGCTGTTTCTCTTAACTAACCTTGTGGGGGCAAGAGACACTAAGCTATGTGACTATATAGGTTAAATTTAAAAAATTTTAAAGAAAGCACAGTGGGGAGAAAATAAAGCAATTTTTTGTAACACTGGAAGTAGAGGCAGAGGCTAGGCAGCTGGAAGTAGAGCTGGAAGTAGAGGCAGAGGCTGTGGAGACAGGCAGGGACCAGGGAGAGGCACAGCGTGCTGCCAGCCACCTGGAAGGCAGGGGTGGAGTGTCACAGACCAACTTTCAGCTGGATTTGCACTTCAGGAGAATTACTCTGGCGGCAGTGAGGTGACTAGACTGGGAAGGAATCACTTTGGACAGACCAGTTAAGAGGCGATTCCATCAAGATAGGGAGAAAATGAAGAAGTGGGCCGGGACAGCAGAGAGGAGAGAGAAACTTAAAGGTGGTGGCTGACTAGGTGTAGAAGTAAGACAATCCACAAGTTTCCTCTGACATTGGATTCTGGTGATGAAGGTGCTGTGAGCTGAAAACAGGGGGAGTGGCAGGTCTGGAGTGGAGTTCAGATTTGCATGTTATTTAATATAAAAATATAAGGTGCAATTAAAGTGTGGATTCTGGGCCTCCCTGGTGGCGCAGGTGGTTGAGTGCCACACTGTGAAGCTGTCCACAGCCTCTGCAGTGCGGGTTCGATCCCGGCCGGCCGGTGAGAATCCCACATGGCGAAGCAGACCTCTCCTGTCTCGCCCACTGCTCCCCTCAGCAGTGTATTTCAGCGGATCTACCTGTTCTGTTCCCTACTCTGTCTCCGGTGAATCCTCTCACCCTCCCACACATCTGGCCTGTACCCAGTTCTTGTATAAAAATAAATCTTTAAAAAAAAATAAAGTGTGGATTCTGGCTACAATTCAAAATAAATACTTTCAAATACTTTGAAATACAGGGCTTGAGTGTGGGGCTGTGATAAGCAGTTAGATTAATAAATTCTTTAGTTCTACCGAGATTTCGAGCTGGGGAAAGAGCCGGAAGTCCTGGTTTCACACCCCTAGAGAGGAGACAGGAAGATAGTGAGGTGCATTCCTGGACCTTCAAGATCTCAAGGCCTGATGGGCAAGGTACCCACCAAAGACAAAGAGGAGGAGGACTCAAAGCATCTCTGGAGCACTCAGCAGCACAGACACAACTATGCTGAATGCGTCAAAAAGAGGATGCTGGGGGCCTCCCCGGTGGCACAGCGGTTGAGCGCTGGGTTGCAAAGCTGCCCGCGGCCTCTGTGGCGCCGGTTCGATCCCCGGCTGCTCCCTGGCTGCTCCCCGGCCACCGGAGGAGGGTCCCACATGGTGCGCAGACCTCTCCTGCCGCCCGCTGCTCCCCTCAGCAGTGTACTTCAGTCCTTCTGCCTGCTCTGCTTCCTGCTCTGGCTCTGGTGAATTCTCTCACCCTCCCGTACTTCTGACTGTACCCAGTGCATGTATAAACAAACAAACAAACAAATAAATAAATAAAACATGCCTCTATAAAAAAAAAAAAAGAGGATGCTGGGAAGTGTTTCTTGCACAACTTACTTAGTCAGCTGCAGGTAAACTCTGAAAGACTTTGCACAATCTTTTTGTCATGTGGTAGTTAAGTGGGGTAACCCCATCTCAAGGACCATGGGAGAAATATCAGAACACCCTTGCCTAGTTCATTTTTATCTCATTCCCTTTTTAACTTTTTCTGTTTCATAATATATACCATATTTTGGTAGAGCAAAATACATAGTTTTACGAATGAATATATATATATATAGATATCTGCTGTCTGTCTCCCTCCCTCCCTCCTGTGGAATATGTAAAACTTTTTAATCAATAGGTGACCATTATTCTATTTATCTAATAAAAATACATTTGAACCATATGTATATTACATAAAGCAATATACAAATATAAGGTGCAATTAAAATAAATACAAATTATTTATTGGCTACAAAAATAAATACTTTCAAATACTTTCAAATACATTTCAAAGTTTACCATGTCAAATCTAACTTCGTTTGACAGTTCTCTCCAATTAACTTTCCAAAGGATATTATTTCAAACCTTACATTTACTTTACTGATTTGAAATGTACTAAGAATAAACATTCTCTGAAATGGAAGACGCATTCATATATATATATATATATATATATATATATATATATAAATACATATATTAAAGTGGTTTTAAAAATTCCTAAGAAAAATAGGTCACTTAATATGGGCCAATTCTCAGGAAAATTAGTATTTAACCACTTCTATTATGTCCTTGTACAAGGACTTCATACTGCTCAGAAAGCTAAAGTGTTACCAGATTTGTGTTAAAATATTTTAAATGACATACCATTAACATGTATTTAATAATGACGGAAAAAATGTTACTGAAAACCCCCTCAATCTTTAGTAAATTCAGTAATAAACTATGTATTTATTCTCTTCACAAAAATACTTCAGTAGGTCACTGAAAACAGATTCTGACCCCCAACTAGCCAACTCTTCTGATTTTAGACTTTCTTAAACACAACATACTTTGAGAAACAAATGACCTTCAAATAATTTCTAAACATATTTAATATTTTTTCATAGTTTAGTCTTACTATACTCCACATACAAGGATATATTGCACCAAATAAAGTATATCATGAGCTGCCCTGGGTTCCTGGTGTCTCATCTCCAGCCCCTGTGAGTCCACAAAGCAATAAGCAGCACATACTGCGGCAAACAAACTCATCCACCAAACCTGAGACCACCAGAATGGGAAGGAGTCTATCTGAGGACAAGTGAGTGTGTTTCAGGAGAAACAAAGTACAGTACTGGGGGTACATTTCTAAATTACTCCCTTACCACATCCCCCCCAAAAAAGACAACTGTTGAAATGGAACCACAGGGGTTAGAGGGGTGTTGTGCTCAGGAAAATGAGGGTGTCTGGGTAGGTTTGTACAAACATACGAAATCACCTTCCACAAGAGTCCCTGCCTGCTGGAGGCAACCAACTGCTGCCACAATAGGCCTGACCCAATTAGGCAGCTGCTGCCCTCGGACTGCAGTCACCTTCTCTTCTCTAACCTGAGCTATTAATGGCCTCAGGGACCTGCTGGTCTGGATATCAGTGCTCTGTAGACTAAAAATATCTTGCCTCCATGTCTGAGAGTCAGCTGGCAAGGCTCTTCACAAAGGACTCTGGAAGAAGACACAGCTGACAAACAGGAGCTACAGGCCAGATTGGGACAATGACTTGGAGCACGGTCCTGTGTTCTGATGCTCACAGACTCACGCAAGAGCAGCCTGGGTACACAGGCTCTCTAATGTGATATCAGTAATATCTAACACGGCTGTGCCTAGAACTTTAAAAAA